TCTACCAACCGACCTGGCCGCACCCGAGAGCGGTCCTGGGGGAGGCGTGCCGAATGCGTGAGGTGACGGCAGAGTGAGCGGTGCCACCTGCGGCATGCAGTAGCTGAGCAACTTGCTTACTGACCAGAGCTACTCTAAGTAGACCTTCAACAAGGGCACTTACCCCGATTTCTGTGCAATACGACGCTAAAATTGGGTCAATAGTTCAGCAAATCAGAGTACTAATTTAGCTAAAATAACGCAGTTTTAAACCAAATCCACTTTAGAAGGCCCACAGCCCATAGATGCTCTATTTGGTGGAGGCCTCCTAAAAGTCGGGCCTCCGTTTAATGGCTTTCGCATCCTTTGTTGGAGGCTAAATCCCTGAGCTTCTATGAATAGTCACTCGGAACCGTTGGACATTGAGCCTGAAAGGATCTTATATGGAGGTAAAATGCAGCATTTTTGCCCCTGGGAAAGGCAACCATTAAACCTTTCCCTAGCCCTATCCATAAATTCATCGAAAGAAAGTAAATCAAAGCGATAAAACAGAGCGATTTCATTATAGGGTGGGGCTTCGCCCCAAATATGAAAGGCTATGGGCGTATTTAGCTGATTGCACGGGCCATGGAACTCTTCCAAAACTATCACAAACGCTGTCACAAATCGCGATTTATGTGCCAAATATGTCCTCGTTTGCGTCGTGTTTGCTACAACCGATGATACCGACCAAACCCATCACATTTGAGTGCTAAATACATGGCTACACTCACTTATCGTTAGTAACAAACAATGCGTTAGGTGCACGTTCAATCAACTTGGGTGGTAGTAAACACTCAGCATCTTGCGCTGGCTCTGCTGTCCACGGCTTGGGAGCGCTGTTGGCAGGTGGAAGTGAGCTCGGCGAGGAAGATTGAAGACTGATGTATTTGTTTGCTATGTAAGGCCACTTGGCCATGTTCACTATGTAGTTCTTGCTGCTGTTCGGTCAGTCCTACCTGTTCTCCTGCTGCAACGTCTCGTTCTCCGCAATCTCCGCCTGCACGTCGGCGGAGATGCCCACCACTTCATGCACGCACAGTCCCAAGATCACTGGCGAGTTCCGACAAGCGCTGACGCAGAGCTTGAGAGCGCGGGCGTGAACGCTCAGCATGAGTGGTGATTGGGAATTGAACCAAAATAATGGTACGCTTCATTTGCGCTCGACGCAATTTGTGGAGACGTCAAATTCGTCTCTACAAATTACGACGGATTTGCTACGAGAAATACGCCATGTTTATGACCGTAGCAAATATCGAGTTTGTGTGCGTTTTGGTAGAGCTCCCATGGTTCACCAGCTGTACATCTTACGCTCAAATCGTCTATTTACCTGGGGGATTACTCCAACTTCATCCTTTTCGGGACTTACTCTCACTAACGCCGGTTTTACTCGAGCTTAAGCTCGTTCGACCATTTTGAGCATCCCGTAGATTACTTCTTCTGTGTCTCGAACTTCGACAATCCAACAAACCAGCACAAGATTAGATCCCCGCAGCTAAAATATTCACAAATGAGCAACACTACCTTGTTGAAATACGTGGATAGTGAAAACGGTGTGCGATCGAGATGAGACCGCGTTCATTTTGGTTTCGTGCGTCGAGCGAAGTTTCAGCCCGCATTGCACGATGGCATCCACCACCTCTTCTTGTGACGATACGGTGACCATAGATAAATTCTTCATAAAGACCTGCGCTTGAGCATCCTCATGGATCTCAAAGTTTGTTGGAGCACGTAATCAAGGCAACCAGTTACAGTGTAGTCCGAGTACTTGGAATTCGTTGTGTTCGTGCTGCATGCCTTTTTCGTAGTCGTAGTCCTCTTCGATTCGCGGAGGATTCGAGCTGAAGCTGCGCTCAAAACAAACTCACGAGGCTGGGTGAGGGGCTTGACGGTTGCCCCCACAATGTTTATTGACGCTATACCTTGCGGCACTCTCAGTTCGAGGAATCTGCTTCATTGAAAAACGCATAAGATTAAGATAAACTGCATCGCTTCACCACACGGAAACCAAGTATACCTGACGAAAAAACCATTCGGCGCTGCTTGACGTCTGATACGACACTGGCCGTCCAGGTACCCGTTTTAGGAGAAGTGATCAAGAAAAAAAATAGGTTGTAAATTCTTCCAGTGCATCCTTACGCTCGTGTGAGGTCACGGACTCTATCGCAGTAGATTTCCAAAAAGCTGACGACGAGGGTCACTTCCGCGTTATGTTCGAATCCAAACGTGCCAACATCGCCAATTTTCACACGCACTTTCGACTTGCTCGGCTGACGGTTCACCAAAAATGTCGAAAAGATACTCAATCGACCGAGAGAGTAGCCCAGCCTTGTCTCACCAAAGATGCTGTAAAGATACCGATCAGAAATCAGCGTTCGAGATGACAAATTTCATTGATATACCTGAATGTTTTCCCTGCAGCAGCTATCAAAGTCATGAATGAGCAGCATGACCCGGCTTACCGCTTCAAACAACATTTCTTGAGTTGTGTCTGTCCAGTAAATCTGCCATAAGACACCATTTGATCAGTGTAAACTTCTGCGGGGGCTATCACAACACTATTCTGCCCTACATTATCGAAGCTAAAGGCGTCGTTTCCGTATTGCATTCGTTCCGTGTCAAGCAGCTCAGCAACCTCACAAAATGTACCGCGAGCTTATCAGACCAGCTTCCCTACCTTGATCACGATATTACTAGGTGCCTCTTCCTTCCGCTCGAACATGTCTTCGGGGGCGCTTTGACCGTCTGCGCAAGGTCGAGCACGAACATGAACCTATCGTGATCAAAGTTGCGAACAGTCAGACGCGGATGAGTAGGCATTCCTTCCTGCTACGTTGGGGATCTGAAAGCCAACCTTGACGTTGGCATTCCCGCCGAGTGTAGTAGGTGGTGACCTTATGGTCCATACTGAAGCGTCTACTCTCTTGTCTTCTCGACGGCAGGGCGTCTTCGCTGGAGCTCCGAGGAAGTATTTTCGGTAACGTTTTATCGGCTGCACGTGGTTGCGCCTCTTCATCATATACGCTCGTACGATGGGGCTTACGGCGCCGAGCAACTCGGTCGAGTACTTGCATAGCTCGAAAGGTAAACCCAAGAGCAAGACGATCAGTGGGAATGGCAGCGCGTTGGAAAGGTGCTTTCGACAAAATGCACGTGCAGTTGAAGCAGAAGACAGAGGAGACGGAGGCCCTTGCAGTCCAGCGCAGCAGCCACACGCCACGTTCGCGACAGGTTCTGCGAGTAAAGTACCCGGCACGACCGGCCTCCGTGGAGTTGGCCATCTCGATCACCTCCTCCTCCGTCGTGAACTTGAACAGCGACACAACAGGTCCGACCAACACGCATTGTGTTTACATGGGCCAGCACTGTAGCCTCGTAGAAGTTGCGGCCGATGTCTCTGCGCTGGCCACCGACAAGAGCAGTGGCACCGTTCGTGACAGCGTCCTCGGGGCCAATGAGCGGACCGAGATTCGCGCCTTCCTCGTGGGGCGGGCCTATCTTGAGCTTCTTGACGCGCTCCACGTGCTGGCGTGGATGAAGAGGGCGGTTGCTGCACACGCACTTTCCGGTGCGCTGGTGATGCGCCTCGCTCCAACAATGGCAGCGTCCAAGGCGTGTCTTACCCATTCAACTATGTGCGATATGGCGAGGGCCCTGCCGTGGTTGCTGGCGCTGCTGGGCGGCCCGGCACCCGAAGGATGAACGGCTCCAGCTTCTCTCCAGCTTCTTCGAGTGGTTGCAGAGCTTTGGTCGTTGCAGCCGCATTTCCGGTGCAAGCGGTGCTGCGTAGAAGGTATCTCTAGATTGTTAAACGGACGACGCGTCAACAGTTGAGCTTCGAGGTCCTGTGTTTGCCTTTGATCTCTGCCCTGCCGAGCTAGGTGGAATTGCATTGTACAATACATGTATCCTTATCAAAAACGTTCCAACCTCCTAAAGACTTCGGGCCTGGATCATCAACCGAAGGAACGCCCGCGCTCGCAACGCTGAGAGATGCATCGTCGTCGGTCGTCGTCTCACTCTCGACTTCTTCACTCGCTGCTGCGAGTTTTGCTGCGGCTTCCGCCCGCCGCTCGCGCACGATGTTCGTGGCGACTTCCATCACACAGAAGGCGCCTGCAAACTCGGTTGCAGGTATCCCCGCCAGCATAGTAGCCACAGCCTTCCCTACTGCGTGTGCCACCTTGAACTGCGTCGTGGGCTCCACAGGCTCCGGCGGGTCCTTATTGGCAGCAGCTGCGGTGGCGAGGCGATACTCACGCAATGTCTCCCGGGGGTGCTCGGTACGACAGCAAGCCGGCTTTGGCCGCTGGAGGGTGAAAGCTGGTCGCCTTCGCCGCCGCAGCGCGCTCCTGGTTCCGCAGCCGCTGTAGCATGTTCTGCACGTCCTTGAAAGTCGGCGTGCAGCTCGAGTTCTCAATGATATAGGAGCGGATCTCCTTGGGCTTGACGCTGGTCTTGTGCATGAGCTCGACGCAGCTGAGCAGCTCGTCCGAGAGACCAAGCCTCGCGTTGCTGTACTGTTGGTACGTCTCCTTGTCCACGCGGTGGTTGTGCGTCAGCAGCGCCCGCGTGACGTTGACCTCGTAGCGGTTAACCTCCGGGTCCACGAGCTTCATTCAAGCACGCGTTCAACTGCACATTGCAGTGCATGGCGCGCACGTCCTGGCATGATCAAACAGCACGAGTCAATAAAGCAATTGCCGTTTGATGTCAGACTGTAAGTTATCAGCTTACCTGGCGCGAGCGCCGCCCCGTGCCGCGGGACACATACTGTAGCTACCGCTGTGTGTGCACACGAGCGTGACCGAGTAGTTGATGTACTTTAGCGGGATTAGGCGCGCGCTGTCCGCCGACGCCGCCGGTTGCGGAGCTTCACGGACGTGGGCGTGCGCTTGCGGAAGATCTGGTAGCTGTACGAGTCTATGTAGCCTCCCACGAGTCGAACACGCGGCGGTTCAGCGGCGCGCCTTCGTGTCGCTCCTTGGCGACGGTGGCGTCGGCAGGCGGCGACATTTGCGCTGTGCTGTTAGTTAGTGGGTCAAGTGAGCTCTTATTTGGGTTCTTCATCGCTCATTTGGGTACTCTTAATTGGTCACTTCGACTTACTTTGGGCATTTGTGGGTGCTGCTACTCGTTCTTCATAAACAGCGACGCAATTGACAGTAGCTTGGGCGACACGGTGCTCATCTGTGGCTTTGGGCTCACGCGTTGCACGGCGACTGCGCATACACCGAGGGCGCCGACAACTGGGAGGGCACAGCGGAGCTCGTGGACTGCATCTTGGGCAAGTACAGCAGAGCGACGATGCACTATCTGTATCGCTGAACTTGCCGAAACGCATCAGGCAACACACCTTGCGTCCAACGTTGGCCTGCATCTTGACTGTGTGGCCGGTGCGTTGATCCAGGTGAGTGTCGTACCACTGGTTATAATACTCTATTGGGCAAATGAGCACTCACACGGTGACAGACTGCAAAGATAAACTTCTACACCAGCTAATACGACGATATGGATTTAATGACTAGGAAGACAACATAAAGATGTTTATGATCATGCAGTTTCCAGGTGCCAGTGTGAAATGGGAGCGGTCACTTGACTTGGGCCGGCATCATGTACTCCACATTTACCGATGGAGCCCGAACCGGAGGGTTGCTGTGCCGGTACTGACTAAGCGTATAGCGCGTGGTAATCTGTATGCCAGCCTCTGCTTGTCATCTTGTGGACTCTACCATGATAAAGTGATCATCGGCGGTGGCGAGATCTCTGTCCATACTGTGTCGACATGGTTACCTGCCACAGCAAAACCTACGTTGTGTTTTGTCGCTGAACCTCTGCTTGCGTTGGTTTTTTCAAAGTTGTGGGGCATGAACAAAAGAGATATGACGGAATCCGTATGACCCAACGGTAGGCGGCTGCTAACGGTAAGATGCTCGCAAAAAAGCTATAGACGTCAAAATCACGTTCACTAGAAATGTATTGATTAGGAACTGACCTAGACTCCCCCAATTGTATGTTGGTTTGCCGCATTCATCACCAAACTAGATCATGCTTCGATTTCTGCCTCTTCGCCGTCAGTACCGTGATTTCCTCGTCCAGATCTTGAAGAACCCTCGGATTGGTCTTGGGATCTTGAAGCACAATCAGAGCCCGGATCCGATCGCTGAGAAAAGTGTAATCCTTCGTTGCTGCACTCTTCACTTCGATCTCTAGCTTGCGCTGCAGGTAATTCGATCGGCTCGACACTTGTTTTTCCATAAGGCAAATTTTGCGTTCCTCCGAAACTTGCTTGAGCGTTGCCAGCTCTACCCGCCATGCCTGGTTTCCAAAGTCCCGGATTGCTTCAGCTACCTTGTTTTTCTTCCTGCGGTTTGAACCCGACCCCGTTTCACGCTGCGTTGAATCGGTGCTCTCGTAGAAAACGTCGTCTGGCAGGTCACGATTCACAGCACCGACAAGCTCACGCTTTATCTGTAGGTGCATATGAATGTAAAGTGCATCCAAACGCCCGTTACAGTACTTGTAGAAGTCCTTGCCGTTTGTGCCAGTCGTGGTAAAGCGGATGTGGGCCTGGCGGTAAGCTCCGTGAGCCGATCCCCAAATTTGGCGGATTTGCTTGACCGAGTGCTGAACGATGCTTGCAGGGTTGACACAGTTGGGGTCCAATGCAGGGTGGGCACCAATCAAATTGTCGAACTCCTCCTCCGGTGTGCAATCTAAGAATGCAGCAAAAACGTCCTCCCAAAACTGTTCCTCCGCTGATACAGCGGTGCCGAGATCGGCACGCGTACGCTGGTCGAAAAGGGCGACAAATCTAGTCGCAAATCGACTGGAAAACAGAATGTTAACCAGTCGAAACGGGCACTGCACTTGCTTCGACTCGGGCTCACGCCGCTGTTGCATCTTGTTCTCAAAAATATGCCCGTAGATCTTGTCGTTCTTCATCCGTTGAGCGATCAGA